GGGTTTAGCGGGAAGGTGGGGCCGCTGTTTCTCTGTACCGGCTGATGGACGAAGCGGTGGGGCGAAGGCATGGCACCGTTTGGCTCCGGTTCCTCCACCTCTTCTAGGAGGAAAACGAGAAGCGGCTTCACAGCTGCAGCTTTGAGGAGCAGAGAGGAGAAAACTGGGCTCAGGTGTAAATGAGCAGTAAATCGTTGCTGGTTAAGAGGCCAGAAGCTGCGAGGGGCTCTGCTGGCTGAGCAGACAGCAGCTGGGCCGTAGGTGTTTGTCTTAAGAGATGCCTGGTGAGTGCATTTAAAAACGTACCTCGTGTTTGTGCCAATCTTGCCGTGCGCGGGGCCGTAGTTTGCCTTTCTCTGCTGCGGCCGTCTGCGTGTCGGAGCGTTGGTGTACGCCTGGGTGCAGTTCAAGGCAAGGACGCTCTCGCCTTTCGGTAGGCGCGGACGAGGGAGATGCTTAGATCCCGTTGCAGGTGATGGGCTTCCTCGCGCAGCAGAGAAAAGCATCGCTGAGGCCGAACAAATCTTAAAGCAGCAAGGGGGCGGTGGGGTTTCCTTTGGGCTGGACGGGGAGGCGGCCGGAGGGCTGAGCTGGGCTCCGGTTTCGGGCTTTAACTGGGCGCGGGGCGTCGGTCGTAACGCCGGGCCGGAGAGCAGATGACGCAAGATTTTGGTGCCAAGGTTTGACCAAAGTCAACCGGTCCCATGAAAAATCCGTGATAGCTACAGCAATTAAAAGCATTCCTGGAGTGGAAATAATTATGCCAAGGGAGAGGCAAATGGGCATCCATCGACCGGCTCTAAGCACCTGCCAGAAGGGAGACGCCTTGGCCTCTGCCGCGACGCGGCTGGGTGACCTTGTTAGCTCGCGCGTCCGCGCTCCTGCTAGGTGGGAAGCGTGCGGCCCTCTGAGCTGCGACGGAGGCGACGGAGAGGTGTGTGGCCGCTACGTCACGGCGAGTGGGAGCAAGCCGCTGCTGAAGGCGGCTGCCTACCAAAATGCCCTGCATTGAGAGGCCGAGATACACAAACCCCTTCTCCTGCCCCGGGCGGCGTCGGACCCTCGCGGTGAGACGTAAAAGCGGGAACGTGCTGCCTCCTCCTTCATCCCAGCGTCTTAATCTGCAGGGAGGCTGTGCTCAGCAGCGTCTTCATCCGCTTCCCCAATCCCGCCTTCTCCCGGCTGCTCCTGGACCAAAATGCCCTGCATTGAGAGGCCGAGATACACAAACCCCTTCTCCTGCCCCGGGCGGCGTCGGACCCTCGCGGTGAGACGTAAAAGCGGGAACGTGCTGCCTCCTCCTTCATCCCAGCGTCTTAATCTGCAGGGAGGCTGTGCTCAGCAGCGTCTTCATCCGCTTCCCCAATCCCGCCTTCTCCCGGCTGCTCCTGGATGCTTTCTCCAAAATGCTCCCGTCTCCGCAGGAGCTCCGGCCCCAGGACAGCCGTAGCCTGTAATTCGGTGCCGTTTGCTGTACGGCTTCGGATTTAATTCCACAGCAACCTTAGCCCGTCTGGCTCGGGCTTCCGAAAGCCGCTGCGATGTGTGTGTGCAGGGAGGGAACAGCTTCTACTTTAATAGCAAAAAAAAAAAAAAAAAAAAAAAAAAAACAAGAACTCGGTCCCCCGCACCCCTCACACGGGCGG